GTTAATGCATCTATAGCTCTTCAATAAAGTATTACCTTTTATGAAAGTGTGTACTACGTTGTTGGCTGTGGGTTCTGACAACTATCATGTTTCAATTACATAGACATTAACAGAAATAAAGGAGGAGATTAAGAGTGAGATAAAAGCTTTGTCTTCTGATGTTGGACAATTAAGAAAGGAATTTGCTCAGCTCAAGCTCGTCATTGACCCATTAAATCAGAAACTAGATGAACTTACTTCAACTGTGAAAGTGATGGGGAAGAAAGCTGAATCTGCACTTCAAATCACTAAAAAAGCAGCTGATGATTTGTCGGAGATACAAGAGTTTGAAAAATGGGCAAAAAATACAATTATCCTTCAGGGGACCAGGTTAACGGAAAGGAAAGCAAAACTACGTGGAGTTTCCTCAAACTTCTGTGTAACAGGTCATCTTAAAGAGGAACTAAACAAATGGTTTTTGCAGACACTTCGGTCGGAGGGAGTAACAGAGACCTCTGAAGAGATAATTACCTCGGCTTTCCAAATTAACGTTTCAAAGAGAGCTCCCCCAGACGTTCCGCAAGACATCATAATCAAATTCAAATAGCTACAAATCAGAAACAAACTTTTCAAAATAGCTCAAGAAAAACAAGGTTTACCCCTTGAAGACACATGCGTGTTTTTGTATGCTGATGTCATCCCAAAGGTGCTGATTGCGAGACAAAGACTGTGTGAAATTGCAAAGACATTGAGAGAAAAGAAAATACCATCTAGATGGCTAGCACCCGGCCATTTGATGGTTAATTTAAATAACAAAACGTTTATAGCACATAATGAGATGACGGGTAAAAAACTTATTGAGGCTGTCATTAAATTGAAAGAAGGAGGGGTGTGAGGGGAACAATATACTCTGGTGTGGATAGTTAGGCTATAGTGTAAGTAGGGGGAAACAATTGAAAGTAAGACTTATTAGGACAAGAGTAGACTTGAACTCTAAACATGTCTAAGTAAGAATAGTTATCAGTGTGTATTGTTTGATTAGAGGGTTAGAGTCTTTAGTGTAATAATAGGGTATAGCAATGAGGCAAAGAGTGTACCCCCCCAAGACCTCCGAATACAGGGAAAGGGGAGGTTCACCTCTCGCTGTAGAGTTGTTCTCTATAGCACCCATAATTGGAGGCAACCCTTTCAACTTTTCTTTTCAGGTACAGAAGAAGATGGAGAAAAATAGTAGTAATTGAGGTAGAAATGAACTGTAGATTATGAGTTGTATTAGGATTAACTAAAAGTTATGGGGAAGTTGGACGGGAATCATAAACAGGTAAGATAGGGGCGTATGAAAAGAAGAGAGATTAAATGAGAGTAGAAATTTCAGTCTGTTGGAATAGTAACCTCAGGTGTATTTTTTTTTATTTCATTTGATTATTATGATTGTTAAAAATGGAAAATGAGTACATCAATAAGATGGATAATTAATGTGTGTTTGTGGACTGATAGATATACTCAACAAAAACTAAAGTATGAAAGAAAAGAAAAGTATTACTAGGTGAGCATACTACTATGTGAAATTTATTTTTTGTGTGTGTTCTTTTTCCAGTAATCACAATATTTAAGGGTAAAGTCGAAGAAGTTGAGTTGCCTGTCAACCAAGTAGACATCATCATCAGTGAATGGATGGGTTACTGCCTTTTCTATGAGTCCATGCTTAACACAGTTATCTTTGCCAGAGACAAATGGCTGGTAAGTGTTTTACATGTCCCACTTCTTGCCAGAGGGAATTGCCACTGATTTGTGAAGCATTATGTTATCTTCTAATTATCACCACAAGACACAGTTAATCATTAGAGTATTAGCTGTGACTGAGCCTTTGTAAAAGGTCTGCATGGAAGCTTTAATAAACCAAGGAGAAGCTATTGCAGTTCTGGATTGTAATTTGGCAATGTGGTTTTGCTGCCTGAACTGAATGGCTCAAAGGTCCACTTCAGGGAGACGGCTTTGGGGCCAGCCCGCTACTGCCACAGCTTTGCCGCTTAGGGTGGGCCAGAGGCAGGGAGGGCTCAGCCTCGGACACTCCCTGGGTGGTTCCCTGCCCCTCACAAGAGGAGGAACCCGAACTGAGGAGAGGGGCTGCGGGGGCCATATGCACAGCCTGCTAGGCCGCCTTTCACGGCAGCTGGGAAGGGGCTGAGGAGGACAGCATGTGCCTCCCTAGAGAGGGATCCGACAGGAGAAAGTGGAAGATGGTGCTGGCAATCCTGTTCCCTCCTGATTCTGAGGCCAGTGGGCCCTTTCCCCCAACACAAAATCTCACAAAACAACATAACGACACGCCAGGCGGGAGGGCTGCCAATAGGGTGTTTTGTGTGTGGAGTTCAAAATGTGATGTCTTTGTCAGGTGAATAGATTACAAGATCCATTTCCCCACAATTCATCAACAGAAACCTGGAGGGCACATGTTTCCAGACCGGGCTTCTTTGTATATGGTAGCAATTGAAGACAGACAGTACAAGGACTTCAAAATTCACTGTGAGTACCCAGGTTGTACACTCTTCCTGTACATTTCGAAATAGAAATGTGCCACTTCTTAACTGAAGTCGCTTGCTATTAGGCAGTTTCTCGGGGCTGCACTGAATAGCCTCTAATGTCCATTTTCCACTTGAAAACGGCAATTTCAGTGGGGTAGAAATGCATCTCAGAAAAGACTTGGGACTGTGCAGACATTCTTTCTTTATTCCTATCAAAGCCATTGTTTCCCCAGCTGTTACTGTCCTAGTGTTGTTTTTCCAATGGCTATTGCAGCATTGTAAAATTATTAAGCTTGTTTTAATTCTTTTAAGTCTTAAATATTTTAACCTGACGGTGAAAGCTGTTATTGGAAATGTTGTTCCCCGCCCTGAGCCCTCTATACGAGGGCGGGCGGGCTATAAATAGAAATAAATAAATATATAAGTAAATCTGCCTAGTTAGGCGAAGACATGATCTGTCCTCCCGGGGCTCTTATAGTGAACGGAATGATGTGCTCCGTGGCCACTCAAATCTGTCTGCCAGTTGATGCCACCGGGGACAATGGCAGCCACTGAAAACCAAGACAAGAGGGCAAGGAGGTCCCCGGCCTCAGGAGCCTCACCCGAGGGGGAAGCAACTAGCAGGGGCTGCGAGAGCAGAAGCCTCAGAGACACACGATGGCCGGCAGGGGCTCTGCAGGGGCCCCGGAAGGCTGGAATGGCAGGAGAGGAGACAGCCGTGGATGTGGCAGCATCAAATCGCCCACACAAGCGGGCGGCCAGTGGAAAGGAGGAAGAACAAGCAGCATGGGCAGTCACAGTGACCAGGCAGGCTTGCTCAAAAACCAGTCGAATCCGACTCTAGGGATGCGGTGCTCATCTCTGTTTCCAAGCCGAAGAGCCAGCGCCATCCAAAGACATTTCCTTGGTCATGTGGCTGGCATGACTAGACGCCAAGGCGCATGGAACGTTGTTACCTTCCCACCGAAGCGGTACCTATTATGTACTTGCAATTTCTTGTTTTTGAACTGCTAGGTTGGCAGGAGCTGGGACCAGAGACGGGAGCTCACTCCATCATGCAGCACTCGGGTCTCGAACTGCTGAACTACCGACCTTCCGGTCTGCAGTTCAGCGTCTTAACCACTTGAGCCACCGCAGCCCCAGAGAAGTATATACTGATGGAAAATCAGTCCGGACCATCAATGTTTCATTCAGTTTGGTTCTTATATGAATAACAAATTATTCCTTTTCATTCTTACTGACCTTTGACTCTTTCATTTAATTAACAGGGTGGGAGAATGTATACGGTTTTGACATGACATGCATCAGGGATGTTGCCATGAAGGAGCCATTGGTGGACATTGTAGACCCAAAGCAAGTGGTGACCAATGCCTGTTTAATAAAGGTTTGGTGCTTTATAAAGTATAAACTTGGCTTTTCTTGAAGGATCTCTGACATTTTTCATGAAGGCAAAGTTTTGTCCTGGTTGCTAACATGCATCATGAATTCAGCATGATTAGAGTAGGAGATCCAGTGCCAAATCATCGTTCACCCATAAAGCTCACTGGGTGAGTTCAGTCTCAACCTGGCCTACCTCACAGGGTTTGTATGAAGGTAAAATGGGGGGGGGAAGGGGACTGAAATAAACTGTCCTGAGCTCCTTGGAAGAAGGGTGAGCTAATAATTAAGGGTGTGCATTAAAAAATTCAGTATTTTTTGGATTTAGTATATTGGACCGGGAAAATATCAGTAATTCCAATATCCTCAAATTCCAATATCAGGATAATATTAGGATTCAGGTTTCTGGGGGGGACGACATAATTTTTTTCAAATCTATTATAGCCTATATGGAACGTGGCGGGGGGGCTGTTTTTTTGAGATAGATGATTTGCAGCAGACCTGCTGGTGCCTGTCCTCAGATGAATCCTTATGTTTTAGAAAGATTGGATCTGGGGGTTCCAATTTTTTGGGCCTCCAAAGAAGGTGCCCCCATCCATCCTCCATTGTTCCCAGTGGAGGGAAAGCAGCCTTTTTTTCCTCCAGCACAAAAGCAAAGAGGCTAGCTTGCAGAAATTACTGGTCAATGCCTCCCATGCCAAGAACTAAAAACAGCCCAAAAGAACCAGAGGAGATCCCAGGAATCCATGCAGAACCACAAGCAGTGTGGCAATCCCAATAGAACTAATGTCAATCCAAAATTACGAGCATGGGAGGGGGTACTCTTGCAAGCCCAACAGAACCAATACATAACAGAGGTTTTTTTCAGAACTAAGGGCAATATGCAGAAGCCCAGCAGAGCACTCTTAAGCACAGGTGAGGGGGCACTTTTGCAAGCCCATCTGAACCTATGTCAAACCAGAGAATTCCAGCAGCACAAATTGGGCGGAGGGGCTTTCTGAAGCTCAACAAAACCAATGTCAAACCAGAGAATCCCAGCAGGCTTTTTGTTTGTTTTGGCAGAACCAAGGGCAAAACACAGAGAAACATTATTATTGTTGTTGTTCAGTCGCACAGTTGAGTCCGATTCTTCATGACCCCATGGACCAGATCACGCCAGGCCCTCCTGTCTTCCGCCGTCCTCTGAAGTTGGCTCAATTTCATGTTCGTTGCATCTATGACACTGTCTAACCATCTCATCCTTTGCTGTCCCCGTCTTCTTTGACCTTCAATCTTTCCCAGCATCAGGGTCTTCTCCAGTGAGTGCTCCCTTCTCATTGGGTGGCCAAAGTATTTGAGCTTCAGTTTCATTATCTGGCCTTCCAGGGAACAGTCAGGGTTGATTTCTTTTAGGATTGACTGATTTGATCTCCTGGCAGTCCAAGGGACTCTCAAGAGCCTTCTCCAGCACCATAATTCAAAAGAATCTATTCTTCGGCGCTCGGCCTTCCTTATGGTCCAACTCTCGCAGCCATACATGACTACTGGGAATACCATTGCTTTGACCATGCGGACTTTTGTCTCTACTTTTTATCATGCTGTTTAGGTTCAGAGAAACATACACACCTGGAAAAGTCTCAGAAAGTGAGAGGGAGGAGGTTCTGTCCACCCTGGTCCTCACTGCCTAAGAGGAGGAGGCTTAGGTGCTAACATCTGCCCTTCATCATTGGCTCTCATCTTCTCACCTCCCACCCCTGCAAAGAAGATAGTTACAACATTACAGACATGCAGATTAGCTTCATTATTTCTGGTGGTTCTGCTAGTTTTTGTTTGGCACACACGTCTCTGTCTCTTTCATCTCAATCAAGATGAGGAACAGTTTTTGTGTTGCTGTATTATTTTGAGCGTGCAATTTTGGTTTGACTGATGACTGAGTGAGCTGAGCTTAGCTGCATAACAATAGCTTGCTAGGATCCTAGAATGGACCAGTAGAGTGACAGGGATCCTAGAGTAACCCAGTTGGGAAACAATGTAGTGTAAATAGCCTATAGTTGGGAGTGGGGTGTGTTTTGGGTGTAACCTTTTTCAGGCATAAATACCCGGCTTCAGCCAGGGGTTTCTCAGTCTTCTTTCTCTTGCTGAATCACTAATAAACTATGAGCTTATCACTTGAATGTGTCTGAACCCAGTATATTTCACTGGTGATGAAGGTGGGATCCTGATGAGCAAGCCGGCTTCAACCAACACTGCAGTGCACACCGAGCCCCTGAGCACCGAGCATCGCACCACTCCAAAGACAATGGCTGCCGCTCCAGGAATCCTGCCGGAATTCGACCCCACTCACCCAGAAAAGTGGGAATCCTGGGCGGAACGCCTAACCTATTTCGTGGAATTCCAAGGCATTGATGATGCAGCAAAAAAGAAGGCTCTCCTGCTCAGCTCCTGGGGGATCGATACCCTGGAGCTGGCCCAGAGCCTCAGTGCACCGACCACGCTAAAGCTTGCCACCTTCAATGGTCTCATCAAGGTGCTCACAGACCACTTCGCACACAAGCCCACCCACATGACTCGCCGCATGGAATTCTTCTAGATGAACCAAAGGCCCGGCAGACCGGCCTCGGCTTACGTGGCTGCCCTGCGCAAACTGACCCTCCATTGTGAGTTCGTCATACTCGAGGAAGCACTCCTAGACTGTTTTGTGTTCAGCCTCAGGGATGAGAAGCTCCTCCACAAGATCGCCGGCCAAGCGAACGTAGACCTCCAAAAGGCACTCCAAGCGGTGGCAGCATTTGGGAAGGGAGGGCAGCCACCGGAAGACCAACCGCCAGGCCACAACTGCGCACCAGGCCACCGTTTCATCTACTTCCGACGCATCTGACAGTGAAGAGGTACTGCAACTACCATGACCAGGACGCCGTGACCCCTGCTGCTCCATTTTATGCTGCACCACTGAATGCACACCAGCAACACTGTGCGCCAGCTGTGGGGACCCTCACAAGTGGAGATCCTGCTGTTTCAGAGATGCCACGTGGCGGACCTGTGGGAAGGTTGGTCACGTCGCCCATGCATGCCACTCGACAGGAAGTGGGAGGCGACCACCGGCTACCCCAACATCGACACACTCCGCGGAGCTACACACCACCTCTGTCCAGCAGCAACAGGTATTGAACTTGCCCCAGGAGACCCCCGACAAAATTATGGTCACAGTCTTACTCGAGGGAAGCCCCTGCTCAATGGAGCTAGATACTGGGTCCTCCATCTCAATTATCTCAGAGGACACGTTCCACAGGCTCTGCCCCAATGGGGGTTCTCCCCTGCGGCCTGTTGGTATCACCCTATGGGACTTTTCCAAAAACGAGGTGTCCATCCTGGGGGAGGGAAAGTTCCAAGTGCAGTACAGGCAATTTGATGGACTTTAGGACCTGCTGGTAGTGAGGGGCAGTCATATGAGCCTCATAGGACTTGTGTGGCTCACTTCACTAGGGTTCAGGGTAACCGGGGTGCACCACGTGGCCACCAAAGACTTCCAGGCAGTGTGTGACGAGTTCCTGGTGGTATTTGATGGGACGCTCGACCGTTACACTGGACCCCCAGTGTTGCTACAACTAAACCCATAAGGCCGAAGGCCAGGCACGCACCATTTGCTCTTTAACCTAAGATCGACGCAGAGTTGGATAGGCTGGTGGCCCAAGGAGTTTTGAAACTGGTACCCCAAGCCGCATGGCAAGCCCCAATTGTGATTCCAGTAATGCCCAACAGGTACGTGCGCGTCTGCATGGACTATAAATGTACAATAAACAAGGCTCTACAAGACCACGCATATCCGATCCCAGTGGTCAGCCATGTCCTGGCTGCTCTGGTGGGCGCCAAGGTCTTTGGTAAGCTGGACTTAGCTCAGGCTCCCGGTTGACAATGCAATGGCAGAAGCTCAGACAATTGTGATGCACAGGGGTGCGTTACGGGTGCGGAAAGGGATTCCCAGGGTACAGCCCTTCTTCGACAATGTTTTAATCACCGCACCCACCTAGGAGGATTATTGCACACAGTCCTGCAATGATTTCAAGCAGCTGGGCTCAAGGTCAAGAGGGAAAAATGCTTTCTGGGAGTTCCAAGGGTCAAGTTCCTGGGGTTCTCTGTAGATGCGCAAGGCATCCATCCGGCCCCAGACAAGGTGAGCGCCATCGTCAATGCGCCAGCCCTCATGTCCAAACCAGAACTTCAGGCCTTCTTGGGGCTACTGAACTTTTATCATTCCTTCCTGCCCCACAAAGCTACGGTCGCGGAGCCACTGCACCGGCTCCTCGACAAAAGAGCCCCTTGGGTCTGGGGCAGCGACAGGCCAATGCGTTCCAGGCTGTCCAGCGAAATTCATTTTATTTGTCTCAGCCCACTGTTCCAACCTATCTAGATCATTTTGAATCCTGACTCTATCATCTTCAAAATTAGCAATCCCACCCAGCTTTGTGTCATCTGCAAATTTGATAAGCATCCCCTCTATGTCTTCCTCCGGGTCATTTATAAAAACATTGAACAACACCAGGCCTAGGACTTCCCTCCATGTAGACGCAGATCCATTTATGAGCACTTGTTGGGTACGATTTTTCAACCAACCATGAATCCATCCAACGGTTGAACCATCCAGGCCACACTTAATAGCTTATCCTCAAGGATATCATGGGAAACTTTGTTGAATGCTTTACTGAAATCTATATCCACAGCATTGCCAGAGTCAACCATTTTAGTCTTAAAAGGCGATAAGGTTGGTCTGGCATGACTTATTCTTGATAAACCCATGCTGGCTATTACCAATTAACTCATTCCGTTCAAGGTGCTCACAAACAGAGCGTTTAATAATCTGCTCTAGAATTTTTCCAGGTATTGATGTCAAATTGACAGGCCTGTAATTTCCTGGGTCCGTCTTTTTCCCCTTATTGAAGATTGGGACAACATTCACTCTTCCCCAGTCTTCCGGCACAACACCAGTACTCCAGGACATCTGAAAGATTAGAGCCAGAGGCTCTGAAATAACATCTGCAATTTCTTTTAGCACCCTGGGATGCAAGCCGTCCGGTCCTGGAGATCTGAAAGTATTTAAGGCAGCTAGATGCTCTCTAACCATTTCCTTACTTACTCTGGACTGGTAGTTCCTCCTTCCTTCATATGCCCTGCATTCTTCAGTTTGTATACAGCTCACCTTATGGTTAAAGACCGATGCAAAGTGAGAGTTGAGTAATTCCACTTTGTCTTCATCCCTTGTTAAGACTTGACCGTCTTCCCCTAGCAATGAGCTTACCCCATCCCTGTACTTCTTTTTGCTACGAACACAGGCATAGAAACCTTTCTTCTTATTTTTAGCATCCCTTACGAGCCTCAGCTCCATCTGCGCTTTAGCCTTTCTGACACCATCCCTACAGATTCAATTCTGCTTCTTGTACTCACCCTCAGTAATCTGACCCTCCTTCCATTTCCTTTACATTTCCCTTTTTAGTCTCAGCACTTTAGAGAGTTCCTTGCTCAGCTACCTTGGCTTCATTACCCATCTCCCACCTTTCTTTCTTACCGGAACAGTTTGCAATTGTGCCTTTAGCAGCAGAAGTTTCAGGGTGCGTAAAGCTACCAGGGAGCCCCCCCCCAGCAGTAATGCCTTAGTGATCCTGCCAGCCCAGCATCCACAATGGCTTCTAATACTCCTCCTCCACCCTCCTCCTCCTACACGGGACAGGCAGCTGCCTGTCAAGTGTAGGAGAGGAGGTGGGATGCTTACAGCCATCGGGGAGGTTTGCTCAGCAGGATTTCCATAGCACTGCTGCTGGCCCAGCTTCCCTGTTGCCTTTAAACACACTCCCCCCAACACCTGACAGGCAGGTGTCTGTCAGATGTAGGAGCAGGGCCAGGGTACTTCATCAGGTTCGTATGAACTTGCTTAGTATCTGATTGCTCAGATGGTGTTTTGAATACGTAGTTATGTCCCACTTCTTAAATGTAACATAAATGAGAGGCAATTTTGTAAAAAAAAAGGGGGGGGCGGGCATGCCCTCCCCCAATTCAATGACCAGGCCAAACGCCTGTACAAAGAAACCCAAAATAAGGGGAGTGCATTCCTACCATGACGTCAACCCTCCCACAAAGAGATTTCTGAGAAATATGACCCCTAAGGGGGTAAAAAAGGGGCAAAATGTGTTCCCCCAATTGTTTCCCATGCGCCTGGCCTCCTTGCCACACACCCCCCATTGGTCAACTGTGTAGCTCAGAGTTCTGAGGTAAAATCTGCCTCTTGCACTCACCTCCCTCTGAGTGCAGTTAAAAGAGACTGCAGACAGTTGAGGACAGTTACAGAAATCAGTGATTCAAGACTCCTGAACAGACATTTTTCAAAAAAGCCAGCATGGCAATTGAGTTAATGAATGTTCATGGGGAGATAGTAAACGACCTTTCTAGGAGCCATTTTGATGCATGCCTCCCTCACGAACCTGAAGAAATGTCCACCACATCACCACTCCCTCACATCAACTCCCCCTCACACCTCTTACTGCCCCCCAAGAAAGCTCCTGGCAAACATCGAGCCAGATACACCAACTCTACAAGGGGGAGGCAACTTAGGAATGTGGCAAAGACATTTGCACATAGCACTCCTGCAGTGCACTGAGTTGCAAAGGCTCAGCGAGATCACCCTGAGCTTGCTCAGGACAACACTGTCTCCATATGAGCAAAACAATCCAGGAACATAAGTAGAGAGGCAAGTGGCAGGAGTTGACTTAACAGACGACTGCTTCTTAAATGGGCCTATGTGGCCTGCTCCAGAGTGAGCTCACCAAGCAGCCTGGTGATCCCAGCACCTGAGGGCAGAACCACCCGTGTGGTCTACAGAGAGGTCCTTCGGGAGAGAGAGAAAAAGTATGTATGTCTCACTTCATTTCTTACACTGCAGTCTTCTCCATTAGAATTCCTACAACAAATGTCACATTTCCTACTCCACATCATCAGTATTATAACTCGGTTTACGGAACTTAAATACCACAGCAAAGCACGGGTAAGTAAAAAAAAAGTACAAAGTCAAAAAGTACAAAGAGAATAAAGGACTGTCAAAATTAATTTGTAATCCAACACTGTAGGCAATGTGGGAAATCTTCAAAGCCGAAAAAAGTGCTTATTCCTGATTAAATGAACATCCAGAGGCAAATCCTCCTGTTCACTCACCTCTTCTGAGTGTCTTAATACCCAGAGAGTGTTCCAATTAAAATAGCTTCATCTCTACACTCAAAATTCTTGATGGGGGGGGGTCGTCTGCCAAACTCCCCCTCCCCTCCCCTCCAGATCCTTCTAAGCAATGCAGCTGGGTCCGCAATTAGAGAAAAGTCAAAAGAGGTTATCTTAGGCACAGTTCAAAGTGGAGAAGTTACAGGCAGCAGTTTCCAGTCTTAAAAGTCCAGGCTGTTAATTCTGGAGCATGTAGCTAGCAGCCATAAATTATGGCATCCACTCCCAGAGGAGCAAAGGGTTCTCTTCAGAGTGCTTAGGGTTTGGCAGGTTCCAGACTGTTGAATATGAGACTCGAGGCAGCAAGTGAACAGTGATAACAGCTTTATTCAACAAAGTCAGAAGAAACAGAACGAGACAAACAACAGAGCAACAGGCTCCTTTTTAAACAGTCCGGGCTTGGCAAGCCACGCCCCCATGTCAGATAACATCCAATCAGATATTGTAAATAAAGACCAATCACTTTGCTTCCCTCCGGAACTTCCCTGGTTGGTTTTCAATACCTTACATCAGACTCAAGCTCTATATACAATCATTCCATACATAACACAGACCCTCCGAAACAGGGTGGCTCAGCACGTCTTCGGAAGAGTTCTCCTGAGACGCAGCTGAAAACACCACATCAAACCAGAAAAAAACCCCGTATATGGCCCCTTCTAATTCTGTGTGATTCTATGATTTTACACATTTCAAATATAGTGTTGTTTCCCTGCAGAATCTTGTGTAGATTGCTGAGCTGGGTAATAAAGAAAGTACCTTAATTATGAACTCTGGATACAATCCATTAGGAAGCAGTTTCGCACAAGCCACAATGAATTACTCAGGGGCACCATTTTGGGGAGGCCATCGTCTGCCTCATGCCATGTTTCAGAACAAAGGACATTACACTTGGGGTGGCTGTCGTTAGAACGAGCTAATGGGTTATAATGAACTCCATATTCCCTTATAAAAGCATTGAAAAGCAGGTTGTGGCCTTGTGGTAAATATTAGGCCCTCCCTGTGCCGAAATCTGCAACGATGCCTACTCAGCTCCATTTCTGAATTACTAAAACAAAACAAAAAGAAGCCTGCCTACTGGCTTATGCCCTTCAGTTAGTAAAGAAAAGATACAAGTGCAGGACACGCAGGGACTTGCAGGGGGCATCTCATTTCCCCCTCCTCCACTACGTCCTCTTTCCCTTTTTCCCTTTCCCAAAAAACATTTGGCATCCTCTCCCCTTTCCCTCCTTCCTTCTTTCCTACCAGCCAACCTATATTTGTCTGCCCCCTTTTTTCCAGCTTTCCTTCCTTCCCTCCCCCAGCAGCCTCTCCCCTGGAAACCATTGGCCCAGTGGCACTGTGGGTAACCTGCAAGGACGTGCAGGGGGTACGTCACTTTCCCATTTCCCCTCCCCACACTATTTCCTTTCCCCCTACTTCGGCCAACCCCCATATCCTCACTTCTCCCTGCTCTCTTCTCTCCTTCACATCCACAAAACAACCAACATTTTATCTGTTCCCCCCATTATCTATCCCCCCCATTCCTGCCATTTAGGCAGATCATGAGAGGGAGGGCAGGAAGGGTTGACTCAGTGCTTAGTTCTTGTGGCCCTTTCTGACACGCCCAGGGAAATGCTGATGGCCACTTTGGGGTCAGGAACTGCTTTTTCTCCAGGCCGGTTTGGCCTCCAGTGATCCTGAAGGATTTTCGTCATCTTCTGGGCGTGGAAAAGCAGTCACTGCAGGTGTGGAGGGGGAGGTATTTGTGGATTTCCTGCCCTGTGCATGGGGTTGGACTAGATGACCCTGCAGGTCCCTTCCAACTCTATGATTCTATGATTTATATTCCACCTTTCTCCACCCAGCTTACATCATTTTCCTCACAGCCACACTGTGAGTGGCTCAAAGTCACCCAGTGAACTTCCACAGCAGAACAGGGATTCAAACCTGATCTCCCACATCCTAATCTGAAACTTGAACCACTACACCACACTCTGCCTTTGTGGAGTGGCTGCTGTTGAACAGTAGAAAGCAGCTGGGCCTTGGGACGTCATGCAAGGTGGGTGCTAGCAAGCCTGCTGCTCACCCTGTCCCCAGTGAGACTTCCCTCAATGGCCAGTACAGTCCCAGAAAGGGCCCTGCCCTCTACCCTGCCTTTCGCTGGCAGAAGCAAAGCCTGCTGTTGGGGCTGCTGAGCGATGGCCATTTCTTAAAGCTACAGACACTCCTTTTATCACTTGGGTTTTAAAAAAAATCCTTCCATGAAGTTTTTTTGTTTGTTTCTTTTAAGATTAAAGAATTTTCTGCACACCTGAAGCATAGAAAGGTCTGTCTTATCTGTTCATGGCTCTAGTCTCCAAATGTATAAATATATTTAACTCCAGGTTGAGAGTTAGATATAGTGATAGAGACTTGTCTAAATGCCCTGCTTTCCTCTCTTAATATAGGAAGTGGATGTTTATACAGTGAAGCCAGAGGACTTGGCGTTTACTTCTGCATTTTGTCTCCAGATTCAGCGGAATGACTACGTACATGCCTTGGTTACTTATTTTAATATAGAATTTACAAAGTGCCACAAGAAAACAGGATTTTCTACAGGTAAATTCCTATGCATTGTTTTCATGTTACGGCTCACATTCATATGCAGGTCTGTACCTACAGGGAGTATATGGCAGCAGTGTTCCCAGAAATATGCCACCCCCTCTGAATTCCCAGTTTTAATTTGAAATAAAAAAAATCAGCCTGTGATAACAACTTAATTTGAATATTCTGGCTTACCCAGAGTGAGGTTGGCACCTGACTGTCCACATGGTAATGTTCTTAAGGCAAGAGCCATGGCTGACTGGGGAAGCTACTGTCATTTTGTGATGGGGCCTTTGCAAGTGGGCATCTCACAGAAAAACAACGAGATGGGACCTCATTAATGATGATACATGATAGCTGTTAACAGTGGGGCCCCAAATCAAGGCCAACTCTTCCAAGGTAAAAGTCAGCTTCAAGCATGATGTCTCCTGGTGTGTTTGCTGGAAGTCTAACTAGGGAAGATGTCAGTGCACTAGATGTAAGTCTGAACATAATTTTGACTGTTTATTTCAGCCCCCACTCCAAGCCTTCGTGCCCACAGGGCTCTAATGCTTCACAGCCATTTTGCAGCACCTGATCCTCCAGCAGTTCCAGTGGCAAAAACAAGTGGATTAGCACACAAACCAAGGAGCAGCATCATGCCCATAGCCAGAAAATTTCGGTAGCTGGCCAGGGAACTTGTCTATAATCTAATAAACTATAATCTAAGTCCTGGGGGGTTGTTCCGAGTGTTGTAAAGGACTGTGGCTACCGGAGTCCTTCCTGAGCAGGGGAAGCAGAAAGTGATCACTGTGCTGAATATAATCTGCGTTTTGCAGGCTTAACAACAGCCTCCGCCATTCTTGGGGCAAATGCACATTGGAGTAGGTGATTTCTGTCGGCACAGGCAGGGAAAGGTCTTTTGAAACTGGGTCAAAGGGCTTCCGGTTCTCCTTTCGGTGCCCAAACTCCCAGTCAGTTCAACTTCTTCTCCCGTGCCACTGGCTCAGCAATTTTCTCCGTTCCTTGCAGCTCCCCCTCCCCCCCGTCTATCAGTAAAGGTGCTGAGTGAGGAGGATGTGAAAAACAACATCAAGCAGCCCAAAAGCCAGAGGAGGGGGGAAATACGGTTGGTGTGTGTGTGTGGGGGAGATAAGAGCTCTTGGCCCCTGAACTCACAGAAGCCCGAATTCATTACGCTGCTGAGCTGGACTACCTGGATTCAAGCAGTGACCCCACTGTGACCTGGCCACGTTGAGGCCGGATCTCTGCTTGTGGCTCAGCCAAGCCCTCTGGCCCGGGCTCCTCCCTCCTCCCCAGGAGTTGCGCGCACACACACACCCCATCCCTGGCGGCTCTGGAGACAGAGGGAGGAAACGAAACGACAAGGGGAGGGGGAAGCCGCCTCCGAACTTTTTCTGCCACCCTAACCCTAACCCTAACTGAATTAATTCCAAAGAATGGGGTCCTGGCAGCAGGACTTGTGGGGCTTGGCTGTTAAGTGAGGGGGCTTGGCCCAGTGATGCCCCCCACAGCTACGGCCCCGAGCATCATTGCTGCCAATGCATCCGCCTTGGGCATAGCGAGGGCCCGCCTGCTCCTCCAGGCCCTCTCCCCCTTTTAGGGTTCTGCATTCCGTCCCTACAGATTGCGGTGACCTCAAGTTCGATAGGGGCTCGTCATGGCACAGGAGCAGCAGGCAGGGGAGCAGGTCCCTTTCCCTCCCCTCCCTTTCCTAATCCCCAAGAAGACCCCAGGTGAGTTCTGACTTATTCACCACCCCAGGGTGGTGCTCTGGCCCTTATGCCTCCTTTGACCATGCAGTTCGCATAGCTCAGTCCTGCAGTCCTGGTGCAGCATTTAGTCTGCCTTCCTTCTCCTGCCCATTCTGCTAGGCTTTAAGTTTGACGGCCATTGGTACATGGACAAGGCTGTACGCATGGGCTGTTCCATCACCTGTGCTGCATCAGAGACGTTTGGTACCTTTCTCAAATGGGTCACTAAGGACGGTAACAGATGCCCCATGCCACCCCCTATCTGAATTACTGCCTACCTACGCTCATCACCTATCTGCATTTCAAACATTCGTAGCGGAGCTTGAAGTTCCAGTCTAGCCCAAGGAAGAAACAAGGGCCCCTTCACTCAGCTGACTTACCTGGGTATCCTGTTGGATTCAAAGAAAAAGAAAGAAAGAGTTGGATTTATATCCCACCCTTCA